AGAGAAAGGTTCTGTTGCAATTAGTGGCAGGTCCAGCCACAAAATGACTGGACTACAATTGATGTCCGCATGAACGAATGTGAGTTAATTAAAGCAGGTCAACAACAATAACAATAATAATAATAATAATAATAATAATAATAATAATAATAATAATAATAATAATAATAATAATAATAATAGTAATAAGTGCATTTTTCCTTAACTAGTGTAAGTGTGTTCACAACAGGACTATCAGCAGTGTGGTGGTAGACTCTGCTTGTTGTTGGCCGGTTGCTCACGGTCTGCGTGAAACTGAAGCCCCAGCAGGTCTTAAGTAGGTTTTGTTACGTGTTACGTGTTACGGTTTTGTTTCCGTCTTGAGTTCTAACGACATACGAACGCGGGGTCACCTCTTCTAAGACTTCCTGTAACTCCACCTTTCATCTCCGGTGGGTTTGGTGTAGAAAAATTGGCAAGGCATACTGGACTTTTGCTTAAGCCCTTCTGTCTAAGAGTTCTTCGCACACCACTTCTACTGGTGGCACAGATTGACGCAACAATGGTTCAGACACTGGCAAAATTGACATTCGACGGCAGAGAAACCTCTGTTCCAGGGAGTAGGTCATACCCTGAGGTGGTGTATTCGTGTGCTCCTGAAGACCATTTCGTAGTTCAGACTTCAGCTTCTTTAACTGCTGATTCTGCTTTACCCGTCGTCCTCGCATTAAGGACCTTAAGATCCGAGGAGGGCGACGGCAGAGAACACGTCGCTAAAAAAGTGAATTCGCGCTCTTTCAATCTTCATCGCCATTACTCCGAGTCACTAACTTTGTCAAATGTAGGCGAACACCCCTAAAGTTGAATTCCTAAGAACCATATCCAAGTTCAGAAAGAGAGAGGAAATTTCGTCGTCGCTTGTGTACTTCCTCTTTACATCGTGAAATTAGGCATTTTCACGTCGTAGTCGTGCAGTGACGGCAAAGAAATGTACAAAAAATCGTGATGCAGGTGAAAAACTGTTGTTTTGCTAATTAAACCTATTGCTTTTGTGGCGTTCCCGTTGCCGTCGCCGTCGTCGGATCTTAATGTCCCTAATACGGCGATCAGGTAATCAACTGGAAATCATAAGCTTTGGCAAAATTTGAGAACCCCTGGGAGTCATACAGAGGACCATTGTCAGACAAAAACCTTTCGGGTACACCATAGCGGGCGAAGTGTGGCTTTGTGACCGAGAAAACATGAACCGCAGTGATGTAGTGGTTTAATAGATCTACCTCCAACTAGTCACTGAAGTGGTCTACTGTCACGGCATACCACCGCCCTCCTTGCTGAACCGGGTCTTGTGAAATGAACGTCCACGGGCCTTAGGGAATTTCGTGTGACAACATGGGTTCTTTTGGAAGTGAAAAACTGTAGCTAGCACACACAGAGCAGTTGAAACTGTCTTGGAGGATTTTATGTGTACGACGCACCATACTTCCACCACCCTGGTGTCCCCGGTGGAGATTTCTCAACACACTAGACTTCAACTGCCAGGGTATGACAACTTTATGGGACTTGTATAGTACTCCATTGTATACTGCCAGTTCATCCTGCCATGGGTAATATTGGTGGAGCGCTTTTGAAACAGAGGATTTGTCAGGCGGCCATCCCTGTTGGTTCAGCTGTCTTTCCCACTCTGATCTCTTCTATTGTACTAGGGAGCGTCTCAGGAGAATCCAGTTCTGCTCTGAACAATTCGTCATTATCTTCTAAGCAACACTGAAATACTTCCTCTTGCGGGCCAAAGGGTGTAGGCTTCTGTAAGGAGGCTCTTGACATGGTATCTGCCAAGTACTGATGTACTTAATCGTACGCTGCAAACGCTTTGGAACACTACTTAAGGGTTTCTTGAAAATAGTTTTCAGTGGTTGATGGTCAGAGTGTACTATCACATCTTGCTTGCCACCCAGTGCACCTGTACACTGCTGCACCTGTGTAGGCTGGTGCACCAGAGCAGAAGCAAGATCGGTATTTATAAGCCGTTTTCAGAGTATTAACAATGCAGCTGACAATGATCATAAATAGATTTTGGACTTGTGTATTAAAAGAGAAGGTTATTTCTGAGGACTTGCTCAGGCAACATCGGCAATCTCGCTTTTACAAGTCTTGGTTAGCGTCGGAGGTTGAGCTATTTAATATTAAAGTAAACGGCGCACTGTGCTCGTTAAATAGTGCACAAGAGAGAAGAATTTTACTTAATTCTCATTTGGAAAAAAGGAAAATTTTCACATCAGAAAGCTCAGAAAAAACATCGACATCGCATTAACTTTGTATTCATAAATTAATTATATATACCGCGCTACAACAGCCATTTTAACTTGGTTCAAAAACTTTCTGAAGATGTATGTGATTTTGCACATTTTTAGCTTCATACCTTNTTGGAACACTACTTAAGGGTTTCTTGAAAATAGTTTTCAGTGGTTGATGGTCAGAGTGTACTATCACATCTTGCTTGCCACCCAGTGCACCTGTACACTGCTGCACCTGTGTAGGCTGGTGCACCAGAGCAGAAGCAAGATCGGTATTTATAAGCCGTTTTCAGAGTATTAACAATGCAGCTGACAATGATCATAAATAGATTTTGGACTTGTGTATTAAAATAAAAGGTTATTTCTGAGGACTTGCTCAGGCAACATCGGCAAACTCGCTTTTACAAGTCTTGGTTAGCGTCGTAGGTTGAGCTATTTAATATTAAAGTAAACGGCGCACTGTGCTCGTTAAATAGTGCACAAGAGAGAAGAATTTTATTTAATTCTCATTTGGAAAAAAGGAAAATTTTCACATCAGAAAGCTCAGAAAAAACATCGACATCGCATTAACTTTGTATTCAGAAATAAATTATATATACCGCGCTACAACAGCCATTTTAACTTGGTTCAAAAACTTTCTGAAGATGTATGTGATTTTGCACATTTTTAGCTTCATACCTTTTAATCTTCTGCGAAGAACCATTTGTCGTGTCTGCAAAATATGGCACCCAATTTCTTCTGATCCAGCAATTGTGAGATAGGCCTTGAATCACGCGAATTTGAATCAATTCGCTTGTTCGAAACTAAATGACCGTCAGCTTAAAAAAAACAAAAGTTTCCATATCTTGGGAATATGTCGAAGACGTGTGCAGGAGAATTCACTGTAGAAAGTTGAGTGTTCTGTGAACATTGCCAAACTTGTCACTTAAAAAATTCTTTGATTCCACGACCTCGGCAAATCTTCTTGAATTCAATGTTCGTAAATCCGAATTCAACGATAACCACCTCTTAGAGGTGTCCAGAATGTGTAAAACCCTGAGAATACTGAGTGTTTCAGGTTGCCGTATTACTGATCGCGGCGTATAAAATGTCTCGTTGGAAAGTCTTGTTTTCCGTGAACATTGCCAACTGCTCACTTTTGACAGAACAGTCCGCAGTCTCTTTGCGTCAAAGGTCTTGATCTTTTTTTTTAATTTTTTAAACTATTTAAAACTAAACAAGTGAGCAGCACTCTGCTAACTGTGGCTGGAAAACTTGTTTATTCTCCTGCGCATTTTGCTTAGCTAACGTAGACTTCTTCTGGGAGTTTTATTTTATTTTGCCATAACATGACTAAAAATAATGATGGTCGCAAACATTGAAAGTTTGGCCGGATATGTTTTGAAGGTTTTGTTGATATGAGATGATCATAGGAAACTCATATCCAACGCGCACTCGTGGAATAATTGTTAAATATTTACATTGCTGGTTACAATCCTTTCAAAAAAGGAGGTAAAAAAGAGGGATAGGATATTACAGTATCATTTACAGTTACGTACTCTCCCTTCTTTCAAGATACTGGCCAACTTAATCACTATTAGGAATCGATTTAAGGAAAACACTTAGAACCCCCCTCATTACAGTTTCTAACACCCACTGCCGCCCAAAAGAAGTGGACATCACAGACTTCATTGTCCATAAGGTAAAAACTGCTGTTCATATTAATGCCTGTTTAGCTGTCACTGTCTTCTCCTAAACCAGCGATTTCATCTTCGCTTCCACCCATGGCGCGCCAAAATGCAATGGCAACCTGTTGACAATTACAAGAGGAACAAAAAAATAGAATTAATAGTTCAGAACATGACATTGCACCTGCACCTGCAGCTATCCCGTAGTCAATGACCGTTGAGGCGCCACGGACATAGCAACCCTCTCCCTCCATTTGATTTTGTTTTCAGCTTCTCTTACGGCGTTGCAAAATTTCAACCCTGTCCACTCAGAGATATTATTCTCCCAACGCTTCTTTTGTCGGCCCCTTCTTCTCCCTCCTTCCACTATTCCTTGTAAATTTGTCTTGGCAAGCCCTGATGATCTTGATACATGCCCAAACCACTTTAACTTGCGTTTCTTTTCCGTGGTTAAGATATCATCATAGAGCCCAATGGCTTGCCTGACGTTATAGGAAAGTAAATAGTGACGGAGGTTTAATTCAGAAGTGAGAAACTGACTCGCTTTGGCAGTTGATGAGTTGGCAGATGGAAAGGTGTACAGTGTGTACAAAATACCACTGACGCACGTATAATGAAAGCAACTTACCCTTTCGGCGTAATCTTTCCTTTCTTCAGCAGGTAGTGAAGACGCACGCTCTAGGAAAAGGAAGAGAAAAAGCTCCAAGTAATAAGTATTTTTTATGAATGTTGTTTCTGATGCTTTGCTGGAAGTTTTCATAGTACAAAAATCTTTGTTTTTTTATTTTATTACCTGCATGTGGGNCATTTGATTTTGTTTTCAGCTTCTCTTACGGCGTTGCAAAATTTCAACCCTGTCCACTCAGAGATATTATTCTCCCAACGCTTCTTTTGTCGGCCCCTTCTTCTCCCTCCTTCCACTATTCCTTGTAAATTTGTCTTGGCAAGCCCTGATGATCTTGATACATGCCCAAACCACTTTAACTTGCGTTTCTTTTCCGTGGTTAAGATATCATCATAGAGCCCAATGGCTTGCCTGACGTTATAGGAAAGTAAATAGTGACGGAGGTTTAATTCAGAAGTGAGAAACTGACTCGCTTTGGCAGTTGATGAGTTGGCAGATGGAAAGGTGTACAGTGTGTACAAAATACCACTGACGCACGTATAATGAAAGCAACTTACCCTTTCGGCGTAATCTTTCCTTTCTTCAGCAGGTAGTGAAGACGCACGCTCTAGGAAAAGGAAGAGAAAAAGCTCCAAGTAATAAGTATTTTTTATGAATGTTGTTTCTGATGCTTTGCTGGAAGTATTCATAGTACAAAAATCTTTGTTTTTTTATTTTATTACCTGCATGTGGGAAAAATAATACTGAGGTGATAAAACACTTTTCTGACTTACACAAAGCCGATATTTAGCAGATAATTTCTGTAGAAACACGCAAAAGTCGCCAATCCACACATTTCTTAATCAAAAACAGAACTCTACATAACCCTGTTGGCAAACAGCCTGAAGAAATTCAAGTCTACATTTTATCTTATCTCGTATACTGTAGCACGGTGAATATCGACAAACAATCATTCCGAAGGTTTTCTACTTTTATAAAAAGTGAGGCTTACAACAGCACACGGCTGGAAGCAATTAAGGAGTCCGTGTCTGCATTGACAGGTGTCCGTTAGACGGGGTATGACACAATTACAATATTTATCAATTTCTGGGCAAACAAAATTAATAAATACAAAAAAACAAGGACGCTCTTAAAAAAGCGTCAAGTCTCGCTTTTTTGGAGATTAAGTAAGAATTGAGAAGGCGATTAATTATACACGAAACAGGATTTTCTCGCTAAAAGTTTTTCACTTCCTACTTTGTCGATGGTCGAGTATTCTTAAGGATCAGTTACCTTTTATATCGTATTCGATTCGACGATAATTGAGTACGCGTGTATAAATCCTGCCGTAGTCAATCGAACGTTCGGCAATCGAACCCAATCGAACTCCAATCGTTCGATTGACTTCGATTGGTTTCGGTAATCCAACATGATCGAGCTCACCCCAAATTTTTGGCAATCGAACACAAACGAACGTTCGGAAATAAAAGCTTCAAAAATTGTACACAAATCAAGTTTCATCTCCTTTCAAACAAGGCGTTGCTGTCAACAAACATGTTGTATTACCTTCAATTTCCAACATAAGTACACAGGGTAGATGTCGGAGAGAGCAGAGACAGCGTAAACCGTGAAACCCAGCGTGAAACTACCAATTCTGGAAGAGAGTGGTTATAAATGAGGGCTATCACGGGTGCTCTTTCGCCGTCGGTGTCGATGTAAAGTTTATTTTTGAGATAGGGGTCTAGCCCATACGTTAACTGACGGTGGCCGCGGCCGCCAGCTCGGACATTGACCGTCAAAGTTGAAGTGTGAATCTTATGCTCGCTACCGCCATTGACCTCCAGTATTAATTGTGAATTTATAGATTACTTAAAGAATAAAGATTTTAGTCAATTGAAGTGACTTTTCGTTTCATACCTGGCTAAGAGGGAAATGTTTCTGATTATTTAAATTAAAACTATTCTCACTGGTTTATTTCCTTTTTCCTTTCTGCCGAGCAACATCAAACAAATCGCGTCGTTTAGTTCGATTGGTTCGATTGAGTTCGGTAATCGAACCCACGAGTTCGATTAATTGAACCGCCGCCACCGAACAGTTCCAGTTCGATTATGTTCCATTCCTAAACCAATCGAACAATAATCCGTCCGATTTGGTTCGATTGAGTTCGATTGATATTTAGTTCGGTTTTGTTCGATTAGCTACGTCGAGATAAATGCACGAATATCAATTCGACAGAAATTACATCTTTGCCAGAGACCAAAAACGTGATGAACATGGCGCGTCACATCAATCATCGCCGAAAATAAACAGCACGCTCATCATAAGACTCGTTTGCATATAACGAAATCTCACCATCGAAGTTTTCACTGAAGTATTCAATTGTTCCAAAGTAATCAACGCTTTCGTGGACCGACCCGTTTCGGAAAAGCTCGACATCTTTCGCATCAATCTTTCCAAAGCTTCCTTCACAAAATAAAGCATGGCGCTGTGACACGTCGCGATTCTTTTCCACAGTTTTCGCGGTTTCCGCTAGGAGCGCATGGGACCATGATTCCCCTTTTGGCACGTACACACGAAAAAAAGGAAGGAAACGTTTGCATTTTCTAAGTCTCGCTTGCTTTAGCAATGACCGCTGACATAATAATTATAATGATGAAAATGACGATAATAATGATGATGATGTTTATGATGATGTTAATAAAGATGATGATGATAGTAATAATTAACAAGCAAAGCAGACAAACACAGTAATTTTCAAGGATTTATAATAACTCCTCTAGTGGGGTTAATTTAACTCCTTACAGTGGAGTTATTTTTTGGGGAGTTATTTTCACTCCAAAAAGGAGTTTAAAGAACTCTTTTTCAGGAGTAAAAATGACCTCAGATATCGAGGAGTTAAAATAACCCCAAAAAAGGAGTTATCCTGTACCTAAAATTTTTACTCCACTTTCAGATTTAAAGTAACTCCAAAAAGAGTAAAAACAACCCATGTAAGGAGTAAAAATAACCCCATTTTTGGAGTTATTTTAACTCCAGACTGGGAGTAAAAAGGACTCTTTTTCAGGAGTAAAAATGACCCCAAATTTGGAGTTAAATTAGGAGTTAAAGTAACCCCAAAAAGTGGGTTATCCTGTACCTAAAATTTTTACTCCATTCTTGGAGTTATAATAACGCCCTAAAAATTACTGTGCAAACAAACAATTTCTGACCTTTCATTGCTGCAAGCTTCTGGAATAGCTCCTCAAATGATTCATTTTCAGCTCCATCACTTGCTAAGTTGCTAAGTAATTCAAGGTCATCAGTTGGCTGTGCAAAGGCTACGAAACAATCACAAAGTGATTTCATATGAGAAACGAGACATCAGCAAGCACAAGAATGGACAGTCACATCACACAATGATTTTCATTTAGGTTTTCTATCAGTGGGTAACAGTGCAGATGTTTTCTCTACTTTGTTTCCATGTTGGATCCACTTTTCTCTGATATTATGTTTCTTTGGAATCCTAATGCCGCCTGCTGTTCACAGATCCCTAATTTCTCTTTAGAGGTCTATTATTACAGAGTTATTTTGGTGGCGACTTCATTGGTGGCAAGATGAGCGGTTACGTGCATGGGGATTTATTGACCTCAAAAGCAAGGGGGTGGGGGCGGGCAAAAGAGGAAATAGTTCCTTTCTTTTTCTCTCACACTTTGCGCTCATTCTCACACTCCATGCTCGCGCACTGTCGAATGGTCGAAAAAAAAAAAAAACCAAAAAGAAAGAAACAAAGACAGAAACGAAAAGAATAACTTCTGTTGATAGGCTAAATGTTCCCTTAAGCTGAGAACTAACTGGCTCCCAGCGATAAGTATGTTGTCTTTTGTGTCAAGACCCTTTACATGATGCTTTTACTCTCTAATGGTAGTTGTTTTGTCTGTTTCCTCTTTTGGCTGCTAGAGTTGATCAAAAGAAACAAACAAACTAACCTTGAGGCTTGTCACTGGCTGCTAATGAACTAGTTGGGTTCTTTGTAGCACCATCATTTTTACTACTCTGTTTACTATTATCCTCTTTGTTAACTGCTTCTTGGTCGTTACTGGAAACTTTTGTAACTCTGTGACTTTGACTCTCTGCATGTGAAAAAATACAATACAATGTTATTATTTTGTTTGATCTTCAACAAAGTACAATGTACATGTATGGTCCTCTGCTCCGAGGTTTTAGTGTGTAGATTCAATTAGATAAGAGTGTAGTCTGTAGCCGTGTTCATTCTACCTTGCAAGTTGCATGCATGTTGGAAGTAAAACATGTCATCTGGTTTCTTTGCTGGCCTGGTTCTTACACTGGTAACCTAGGCTGAATACTGGTTTAAATGTAAGACTGGATTTTACCTATAACATGCAAAGACTGTAGTTAAGTAGCACTCCCAGTTCTAATGAAGTGAAAATTAGTGCCAGGCATTGAGCATTTTCAGCTTCAAGACAATAGCCTAGCGCACAAATGATGTCAGAGTAACTAATTTGCAATTTTTGTCTGGGTTTTGTCATTTTTCTCATTTTCATGACAAAAGACAGACAAGCATGGCATTTTAATGACAAAAGACAGACAAAAGTGAGGAATTTGCTAATGTTAATTTCAGTTTGTTTGTCTGAGTTTCAGGTCTATAAATAGTAACTGAGCACAGTGCTATTTTGGGCTTGTTTAATGACAGAGATAATAAACAGAATCAAGACTGGCATATTAACTACTGTAACTAGCCAGTGAATACAGCTGCCTCTCGTCACTCCCTGTTGCTGGAGACCACTGGTTGTTTCATGAGAGAGACTTTTGAGTTTTGTCTGCCATTTGCAAAAAATAGGTGAAAGAGGACACTACGTGTAGTTGCTACATACAGTAGTATGTCAAATAATCACCAATATAATTTTTGGACAAAAACACAGACACCTCTGTCACAAAAGTCCCTGGCAAGGGGGAGCAATGGGAAGTGGCTGTATTTGCAGGCAACAACAGTAACAAGAACATAAACTAATTAACAATAGCATGGACAGGGGATGTATCAGTGCTCATTAAATCATACCCCTCATTTCCATATTAGGCCACTCAGCACACTGAAGAGCTTCAATCACTCTGTCTATGCCTGTCTTTTCACGAAAGTCATCTAGGATGAATGCACATTGTTATTGTTTATTGGACGTTTCAATGCTAGATTTTGCAAAACATATCCCAATTTATTAATTATGATTATTTATTCAAACAAAAGGTATTTCAAATCAGCTGTAAACAATAATGCTAAGGTGTAACATGACAGTTTACTACTTTCATGTCCTGAGTCTGGTATTTTATTTATTTAACTGTTACAAAGTGAATGACATGCCACAATAAGCAGGATACCTTCCTCCTCATCTTTTTCATCCTCCTCACAGATCATGTTAATGAGCTCAAATGAGTTATCCAAACACCATTTTACTACCTCTGCTTTAGACACACCTAAAGATAGTAATAAAAACAAAGATTATTGTAACAAATTCTGATGAATCTTGACAGTTTTCCTAACAATTATTGTTAGGAAAACTGTATTATAATAATTATACGTGCAATTATAATAAGTCATTATGTCTAATCACTGGGACAGGCTGTTAGTTACAGTGCAGATCTTCTAAAATCTCATTACTGCATTTATGTGCATCAAATTCACAAAAGTGCAAGACTGCTTAGTTGACACAATAATTATTGCTTTATTTACTTGTTTATTGATTCATATTTCTGCTTTATTGATTCATAGTCCTCATAGCTCCTGCATAGTCCTGATGGGATGCCAAAAGAAATGCTTTTTTTATAGGTACATGTATGCACATGTATACTTTGCAATTCCATTTTATCCTTAGTTTTTATGTACAATGATTTGAGACTAGGGAAGGAAAAATCAAACCAAAGCAATAAAACTGATCTACAACATATATCAGTTACAAATTACTTTTATACAAGAAGGTTCATCTGTTGACAATAATTTATGTATGATGGTAACAAAAAATTCAAGAAAGCAAATTATTCATCTTGAGACAGGTGTCTTACCTCCATTGTCTAATTCTCCTTTACCAGAATTGATCAGTAACAAGACAGATGGATCCTTGGACTCAATGTATGACAGCCATGAGGCTACTTCCTCAAAACTAGATTTCTAGGATAGATGATAATTATGAACAGTAACAAAACCAGCAAAATTCTTATTCATGCTGTGAATTTTATATTATGCATTATTTTCCCTTGTATTTGGTTAAAAAAAAATTGATATGGAGGAAGATAAAATAATTAAGATTGACAGTTTAGTACATGCTGTTATCTAATGATGATTAAAGATAAAGGTTCCTGTTTGAATAGTATACTGTAAGAAGTGATGGGGATGAGGGTGAGAAATTAAGGTACATCTACATGTAACAAGTATATACCCACGTTAGAATGTGCAAACCAGTAGGATATGGGTTTTTCACCTAAAAAATCCCCGGGGGAAACTGCTGGGAAATTTTTTTTCGGTGGGGGTGTGCCGCCTGGTTCTCCAAGTCCTGACCCTATTTCAGACCAAACAATGGTATGTTTTCACACCTACTTTACGACCCGGTCTCTAAAACCCATACTCGTATTTAGACCCCGCCTCTAGGAAGTCATGTCATTGTTATTTAGATTAAAAAGCCAACAAAAAAGATTACTTAAAATCCACTTTGAATTCGCATTGATTTATCTTCCTTTCTTATTCATTCGACAAACACATTCATACACTCCTGTAGTTTCCTTGAAAACCATACACGATTCCAGACCAAAATGAGCAAAGGCTATACCGATTTTTAGACCAAAAAAGCTCAAAAACCATATCCTCTGAAATGGCACATACCTATATAGCTTATACAAGGGAGTACCCTCTCCCCCTCCCCTCAGGCTATTGCCTTTTTATGGAAAAAGGCACACAAGTGTTCTGGCAAAATGGTGGATTAAGAATACAGGTTCATTGTAGTCTTTCAAAGTGCAGCTCAATTTCCTCAACCCTATCATGGTGGCAATAATGATCAGGAATCATTCATGTTGTCTCTGTATTGAAAACTGAGCATCAAGAATGAGAGTAAAAAATACAGATGAATATTTGGCAGTAACAAAAGTGTTAACTGGGAAACGTTTTTATGCAGCCTCAAGCTGTACATGTATAAGGCAACATTTTGTAGGATGATCATTTCTTTTCAGCCAGCAAAATGACACCTCATAAAGTTTGAGTCAGCGAAAGTCAACAACAATGCATAACACCTGTCCTATTTAAAATGTAACTTGAACTTTCAATGAAGCATTTACATTCATTCTTTTCTCAGGGAAAATTGCAATTGCCATTATTATAATAACCTGTATTTCTCTCCCTGTAGGTAGAAGGTCAGATATCAATAAAAATGACACAAACAGAGGATGGGCTACCTATGAACATACTATCATTAAAGTTAAAATAAAAATGGGCCCTCACCTCTTTTTGATCAAAAGTAATAATTACACTTTGAAAATTCATGTTTCCCGCAAACTCACACTGTGGCGGTAGAGAACTAACAGAACATGCACAGAGATGCACATCTGCGGTGTAATATTTATTTTCTATTTTCCAAAGGTAAGAAGTCAAACTGTCTGACAGCTGTGTGGGCTCAGGATGCTTCTTATTGCACATTGCTGAAATAGACAATAAAAGGGCAAGGAGAACTTGTAGAAAAGTCGGTCATAATAATTATAACTGACGAGCGAACAATTAAATTTGTTTTGGAACTTTTCATTGATCACACTTGCCCATCAAAAAATAATGACTACTGAGTTTCCCCACACAGGGAAAAAAAATTTTTTCGTCTTAAGTGAATAAATTTTCTCACCATTAATGATATCTTCCGGGGAAAGAAACGAACTGCAGCTCACAACCAACACACGACCGACGTCCGCCATGTTGGATCCAGATTTTAGTGAAAAGTCATATGAATGCAAATTTGGCGACGGAAGTTAGCCGCTGATCAGGATTGTGTGTTCTTTCTTTTGTCAGGCATTATTTACAACATGGTTGCTTAGAAATTAGACGCTGTCCGTGCTTTTCCACTAAATGGCGGTTTTTTGAACGTGCAGAACCCGTGAAACTATGCAGTGACTTCTCAAACCAGTTTTGTTACGCTAAAGATGTTTTCTTTGACAGATATTCCGCCTGGACCCACTGATATCGGAGAAATTCTTGTGAAGGTAAGCATCTTTGTGATTCAAGGATTAACAACTTGAATCACAAAGACATCACAGTGCATTCACTTTGACAAAATGACTTTTAATATTTCTTAACGTTAGTTTTTTATTTAATAAAATAATTTGTTCATGGTACTAAAAGATAATTTTTTTTTAGCTTTTCACAGCTCCGTATTTCAGCCGAACATCTGTCCGCAGTGGAATAATTGCTTTTTGAAATGCATGATTTTGTAAACTTCTTGTTAAGCAGTTGAAATGAAAAAATTGTATTAACACTTTTTCCTCATAATTGTTTCAACCAAACGAGGGAACTGAGGCTCTCAAGCACGCCTAAACTTGAAATACGTTAAGCTTAGATTAAACGTAGCACAATACTTAAAAATTAAGCTGTACAACGTTTATGTACACATTTTGCCATTCTTGACTTATGCTTAATTTAGTTGTGGACCAACTTTTATTTTTGTTTACTTTACTCATACTGTCAAAAATGACAAAGAGACTGTTATTGAATCAAATTTGTATAAGACCTGTATTACGTTGCTACTCTTATAGTAAACCCGATATGCACTAAATCTAATTCAATGCAGGTGAAGTGCTCATCAAGAGAAAAAATGGGGTATTTTGGTTGTTATCAGTTGCATTGGTTACTTTGTACTTGACTTGTAAACTATACAAATCAACGATTGTTCTAAACATCTTGTTCTTCTTCTTATTTTTGAGGTTCAAGATGATCTACGTCATCTCAAAGAGCAGATTATTTCACAAGCTACAGTCTCCACAGAAGTTATTGATCTCAAGACACTTGAAAGTGCAATTGAGAGAACAGAACAAAGTGTCAGGGTAATTGCTATTACAGCTTATTAGTTAATGACTACAATGGGAAACTTACAGGTGGTTTGTGCTCTCTCAACCAAATCTGAACCTGTAAACTATGTAGTAGAAAGAGGTTTTGTGTGTGTACTTTTGGATAAGAGCTGATCTTTCCCACATCGTTACCAAACAAAGGGTCTCTACTCATTTTACCCCTGTCTCTGGAACAAGAGGGACAGAGGAAGGGTGTAAACCTGTGTGGGAATAAAATTAATTATTAAAGGTTGGCTTTCTAAGCCACATTACAATGACAGTATACCAGTGCTCAACACTAATGCTAGTCCACTAGCCTGGGAACTTTAGGGAATAGGCTGGGTTAGTACAAATATACTTCTACTAGCCCCTAGACCAGTTAGTTAAGTTGACAAAATAACTTTTCTTAAACTCTGCAAAATACTCCTGCTTTGAAGGCTATGCATATCGTGGAGGTATCGTATTATTGACTTGCAAAACGGAAGCAATGTTAATGTAGGAAGTGGAATAGAGAAGACTGGTTCCTAACCCCCCTGTTGTTTTTTTCAGGGCTTTTTTTGGACAAGTGGCTTGCCCTCATAGGCCAGTGATTTATTTCACTTGTTACTAGCCCATTGCGTAGTTTCCAAAAAACTCGGTGTTGAGCGCTGTATACAGGATTAAAGAGAGCTGAAACGTTTACTTTTTACTGTCATTGAAAACATCTATAGTATATTTCTCTGTTCTCTTTTACTCTAGGACAAAGCAGAGCAAATCATCCACTCCACAAATAATACAGTGCTTACTTTGCCATCTCTTGAAGGACCTGTGGCAGTTTCAACCAAGAAAAAACAACAGGATGCTAACCGGTAACTTTAAACAGCATTAGTTGACTTGTGACTGTATATTAAGATTATGTACAGACTATGTTTATTGCATGGTAATAAATATGTCTAGAGCTATATATTATTATTTCCAAGAATAAATAATGAATTGCTTAAGGGGAGGTACAGAAGTCTTTGGGTGTCTTTTAATATTCTGGGCTAGTTATTATTTGTTTAATCTATGATGAGCATATTCCAGCTCAAGTGTCAGCTAAATTGATCTGATAGTGAATGACGTTCCTTTTACCTTGTTTAGGACAAATGACAAAATGCAGGGTGTCTTGTTTTAAAGCTGTTTATTGGTTATTGCAGTCAGGAGCAAATTCATGTTATAGTCATTGCTTTTGTAAACATATAGCTTGTGTTTCATCGTTAATGGGTTTACCTTTTTTTACAGGGATCAGCGCATAGTTGCATTCAAGAAAAGTGGGGTTGCTCAGAAAGCCAGGTAAAACATTCTAGTTACATGTATGCTATAACCAGTAAATTTACATTGTACACTCTACATAAACATGTCAGTTTTCATGAATTAAATATCAGCAGAGCTCCACAGCTAGAAAAATTTGGTTAACTATCCATCCAAGAAATTTTGGTAGTCATGTACAACAGACTGTAACCATACGTCCACCCGACCGCCCATCTGTCTACACCACAGGGAAACTAGAAACATCACAGTTTCTATAGCTAGCTGGCCTGCAACCTGATATTGCACATCTATGTTGTGGTCAATTGGCAGTTGTCAAAACAGGGTATCTGCTGACCAGCATCACATGAACGTATCGCAGGCTCAGCAGTCGGCCATTGAGGTTACATGCTTTTTTTAAGCTCTCTACACCTCACAAGCTCCTAGTTTTCAGCTGATTAAAGGCTCAACCCCAAGTGGATATCTTCGCAATACATGCTTACAAGTTTATTGTTTAAAGTAAATTATAAATTTTTTAATGGGAGCTTTCGCCTTTAGCTTTGGCTATTTATTATTACTGTTTGGAAAACATGAACATTTTTGTTAAATATTTATATCATAAACATGTAGTTATTCGGCATGCTGTTATTATATATTTTGATAGTTTCAAGAGCTTATTAGAGCCAATAGCAGTAGCAAAAGAGGGAAACAGACCAGGACCAAATGCCCCTGCTCCAGGACAACAAGTACTTCATTATTTATGATTAAATTTAAAGGTGTACCTGTACACCATGCCCAAATGAGCATGATTCAGTTAAATTAGGCAAGAAGGCCAGAGAAACATTGCAGAAAACCTAGAGTTGACTCAAAACTTCCAAGAAAATCTTGTTCATCTATCCTGTTCTACCTTCAAACTAATTTCATTATTCTGCATGTAAATGTTTATACAGAAACGTTTAACTGTATTATGAAGTCTAGTACAATGACCATCAAAAAAAAAAAGAGAGAAAAACAAGCAAGAGCAGTGAAAGAATAGCATGGGAAGGAGAAAATTAAAGTGAAAATAGTGTCACTTTTAAAACCCATTTAACTATCCTGAAATGTTGGCCTCCGTGTATAGCTGTAATTTAAAATAACAAATGAAAGAAGCATAGTGCTTGACCTGTACACAAAGTTTTAACCAGTTTTGGGTATTTTTGCCTAGACAATGACCACAAAATGGCTGGACTAGCTTCAAATAGTGTTAAAAAATTTCTAGGAATACATGTAGATGGTTTTAAGTTCTTTGTGCAAAAATCATTCAATTCAATTCTGTCAGGAGCCCATAATCCAGAGCATACAATTCACATACTTGGCCTATTCTTACAACGGTGTTTACACAGACCAGTTTATTTTTAACATCATACTGGATTTTTTTTTCCTGCGAAAATAGAGGCAAGTTCCATATGTATGTATTACAGTATGATAATGGCAAAAAGAAAAAGTAAATGCTTTGAAAACATTAGAAATACGATTTTCTTGTCTTCAGTTTTTTGCTCGTTGATTTGTGAGAAATTTGCAGGAAAAATGATCTAAAAATAAAGTTGTCTGGAAAATGCTATTGCCTACGTACAAGAGAATTGTCCGCTCCAGGTTATGGGCTCCTGGTTCTCAGCGTATGAGCCCTGTTTATTGAGACGTTAGAAGACTTGATTTTGAGAATAATTGTTTTTCGTTTTTTAATGTGTAGACCAGGGATCTCAGGAACCTTAAGATCCTCAGTAACCCAAGTCACCCAGCCGCAAGAAATATCTTAAATGACAGATATGGTGTTGCCTTGCCTCACATTGTTGATAAGCATGAACATGCTTTTCAGGTCTGTCAGTTTTATTCACACTGTACTTACATTCATAACAGAGTTGTCCTAATAACTTGGTGTGCAACATTTTCTTTTGAGCACTGTTTTAATTTTTTACTACAGAAGAGGTTCCACTAAGTCTAACAGACCCCATGTATTGGTATTAACTTATGTTGTATACATTTGTATGCCTTTTCGTATTACCCTGCAGAAATGAAATTGACCTGATAACGGCAGTCAATTTCGGTGCATCTTTTTACCATGTGCCCTGACTGTGGAACTATGTTGGTCGCTAGGGTGTAAGTTGATTGTTTTATTTTAGAGGTTGCAGGTGTTTTTATGTGTGAATTACAATGTATTAAAGGCAAGTTAGATTTGATTCCGCGGGATAGAGGCTGTTGCTTTACTCCCGGGACTTAGAATAGTTGAAATTACCCTATGGATGCGATCTGGAGTATTGCAAGACTCCCCATTTTTGCATAAGACCTTTGTATGCCCCTGTTGTTTGGTTTGCAAATTGTAAATTGTATCAATAAAGCCCTCAATGTTAATAGAGAATAATTGTGTGAAGAGAGTTTTCTCTATTTTACATTTAGGTCCCTGGCAAGGTTGTAACAGGCTCAACTATTGATCCACTGAGTACATTACCCAGAGCTAATAAAGTGGACCCTTCGGTAAGTAACTTACGTCAATACGAACCAACACATAAAACAGCAATGAACAGTAATGCCTGCTTTAATTGGAGTCTTTCTATTACTGAAAAGTGTGTTGTTAGATAAAATATATTATT